TAAGCAGAGCCAGGGTATTGCACGGCTGATACAGGCTAACTGTAAGTTCCTCAAACATGGGGACAGCATGGGAGAGGCGTCTTGCTAAGGCTGCATTCCTTAGCTATGCTTGTGTTACAGTTGAAGCTTACCCAGAGAGAAGCCCAGCTTTGTTAGATACATAAATATAATCGGGTGGGCATGCAATACATTCCCGGGCATACATTTCTTTATAGCAGTGGGTTTTGCAGGATCTGTACCTTCAGGCATGCATGCAAAACATGTTTTGGGTCTCATACAGCACATTCCTGCCACAATGGTGAGGGGAGGTATAGGACGCAGGGTAGAACAAATGCCACCTGCAAGTAGGCCCTGTTTGAACAGGGCGTGGGTGACAGAAGGCAGGCCGGTGCAAGGGTCCAGCTTCAAGCATTGGAATGGGCTAAGGCCTCCTGTGGGACTACCCCAGCAAAGCCAATGGGTCAAATCTATGTGCTGGGTTTTTTAATGGGGGTTCTTATCCCCTTTATATAAAATAATAATGATTAAAGTCAAGGGTGGGGTTTGGCCATTTTAAGGCAATAATTCCACAAGAATGAATTTGGGGTACAGGGGCAGGCAGGGCCATTCAGCCAATTTCCTGTGGATAACTTTCCCCCAAGGCTAGTTTCAAGCAGCAATGGAATGAGCTATGGCCTCCAGTGCGACTACCCCAGCAAGGCTGTTGGGTCAGTTTTGTGGGCTGGGTTTACTGTGGGTTCTTATCCCCTTTGTGTTTTGCCCCGAGGCTTGGCCCCCGGAAAGGCTTCAGGGAATTACATTGTTTCATAACCTCTCTGGGGTTGACAATGGCATAGCACACGCCTTGTCTCATTTTCAGGTCCACAGATTTCTGGAGTTGGTACCAGGAGCCAGTCGGGAACCCAGGCAGATGCCACTAGCGCTATGGAACCTTAGAAGAATGGTAGAATGGTTGTCAGTGTGGTGTGGAGATCAGTTGCTCCATGCACGTGGCAGGGTTGTGAGAGAAGTTTTAATGATTTCATGCAATTTCAGGATTAGGAAGGCTGGTCAGTGATATGGCCCATTACAGAGGAACAGGTGCTGCAGCACATGCTGTCGTTGGCAAACCGTCAACTGGCATCCTCCACAATCTCGAATCGCCTTTCTGCCATTACATTCGTCAGTAGGCTAAATGGTTATCCTGATCTTTGCAGTGGTTTTTTTAGTTGGAAGGTTTTTGGCTCATGGACAGGAGTCGGTCTTGTTCAGGGCTGCATTCTTGACAGCAGTTTTTGGTGCTTTCAGGATCAGTGAGCTAGTATCTGGGTCTGGTAGGAAGGGCTTTGCAACTGCGGGATATACAATGGCAGGAGCATTCAATAATATTACACTTGTGACGGTCAAAGACAGATCAAGTTGGCCAGGGTGAATCTGTGATCCTCTGGCGGGATGGTGAGCCTGGAGTCTGCCCAGTTCAGGCTTTGAAGGCCTACTGGGTTATACGGCCAAAGGGGAAAGGCTCCCTTTTTATGCATGGTGATGGGAGTCCCCTCATAGCATATCAATTTGTTACTGGGTTGAGACGGGGGCTGATGAGGTTGGGGCTGCCAGCCCTTGAATTTGGTTCCCACTCATTCAGAATCGGGGCAGCAACGGCAGCAGCACAGATAGGTATGGGAGCAGAGGCAATCGGGAGTTGGCATTCGGATGCGTACCGAACGTATGCAAGACCTCAGGTGGTAAGTCAGCATTAATTTGTCATAATCTCATTACAGATATTGGATGACCAGCCATGCAGACGGTGGTGTGGGTCTGCAGGCATAGTATTGTCTTTTGTGCCCATAGTCACGTGTCCAGGGTTGCCTGAGGGTTCACAGCTGGGCTTTGGTGATGAGGCTATACTCAGTTGGCATGCAAGGAGGGGCAAGTTATGGGATCAACTAATACCGATGCTATTTGATGTGCGGGCCCATCAGCAGCCCCCGGATATAATGTGGTGCATTTTGGGGAAAACGATTTGGGAATGCTTAAAGGAGTGGAACTAATGCTCAGAGCAAGGAGGGACTTGGGGGCTGATCCTTGAACTTTTTCCAGGAGTTAATATGATTTGGTCAGACATGCTTCAGGGTCTATCGGGGAGCCGTGAGCCCCCTCAGGATGGACAAGGCAAGGAGTTATGTGAACAGGGAGGTGGCCAAATTCCTTGGGACCAGAGGAAAGACTGATTTCACATCCTGGCATAGTATATGGGGCAGCAGAGTTGTTTTGGGAGCACGGGGTTCACCTGTCTGACTTAGGTGCTGTCATGTTTTTAACTGGTATAAAATATGGCATTAGGAGATGTGTGGGGAGGAGGCTGCCAAGGTGTCTCCTTGTGGCAGATGTCCAGTGCAGGTACTCCATAGGAAAGGAATACAGCGATCAGATAAATGGCTTGGAAAAAGACTTAAAAAGAGGTGTTCATTAAAGGTTGGGGACTCCTATGATTGGTATGTCAGGGAGCAAACCCCCCATTCTTATAGCCAACCTTAACCCTCCTAGGAGGTAGGGGTGGATGGTAAGGTCCTGGCAATGGATTTGCTGGAGGGAACGGGTATATAAAAAAGAGGGGGAGCTGGTGGAAACCCCTCACCCCAGGTATGGTAAGGTCCTGGCAATGGATTTGCTAGAGGGACATGGATGGAAAAAGAGGGGGAGCTGGTAACCCCCCCCCCCAGGTAATTATGGAATAAACATGGGGTTACCTGCAGTGTACACAATTATCTGCCAGGTAGTCCCAAACATCTAATAAAATTGCGGCCTCATTAAACCAGTGTCAAATGTCTCCTGTCCTTCTTTTGGCATAGCCAGAAAACATGTAGATGTAACTGAAAAACTTTGCAATTACAGAACGCTTTATATTTTCATTGCTGCAGAAATTTTATCAAATTTTCATCAAAATTCTTACACTTTCCACAAATATTGACCATGAAGTATAATATTGTACCAGTAAATTCCTGGGCACATAACATTTAATTTAAACATATGCCATTAACTCAACAAAATCAATTTTTTATTTATTTGTCTTTAACATTAACTAGATAATACTTTAAGTGTACCTGGTTTCCATTTTATTTTATTCAGAGTAACTTTCTTACTCAAATTGAAAACATTTCCTAACACAGTGTGCATTTTTTCAGTAATGTAGACTTCAGGTTGCACAATTCTGAATAACATTTGGGAAAGATTTAAAATTTGAATGTAGGAAAATCTTTAGATAAAAGTTTATAACACATTGATCAATAATTTGGTATATTATGTAGACACAATTTTGCAGAATGCATTAAATAATTAGCTATATAAACTAGTAATATTTATTTTTAGTATCTGCAATAAACATGACTAAAAATAATACTTTGCATTTAAAAAGTGCTTTTCATCTTCAAAGTGCTTAGCAAAATTAATTAATACACAATTTTAAATTAAGGGTTAATTTCTGCATTGATTTTCCCCACTGACTTCACCTGGATTACATGGAGTAGCAATGAATTTGGCCGTATGTCTAAAAAAGTTTTATAACCTTTCAGAAATGTCCTAGTTTTAAGACAAAGAGGATCTGATACCTTTTGCAGTAAGTTTTACTTTGACTGTTTTTACAAAAGCTTGTTTCTTTTCATAATATGCAGCCTCATTCACAAATGTTGGGTATACTGTAGAATCCCCTTCATAATTAATGGTCTCTCCATCAAGAGTTAAAAATATAGGCTCCCCATTGTTCAGTGGCTGCCAGTCTTGATCCTTATAGGAAATTAGATTATAGATTGTTAGAAAATATATTATATTTTCATCTTAATATTTTTTGACAACTTTCATATAAGATTCTTAAGTTTATTATGCATAGTTATACTACTCTGTACAGTTTATGGCCAAAACTTTCAAAGCTCCACTGATTTGGGACCTTAGGCATCTTGGGCCTGATTTTTAAAAGTGCTGAGCACTCACTATTCCAGTTGAAATAAATGGGAACTGTGAATGCTCAGCAACTCTGAAAATTAGGCCCAAGGTTTCTCAAAGGTTTGGCTCCCAAAATTGGAAGTACCTGTTTAGAATGAAAGTATACCATACTTTCTTTTCCTTGAGTTTTTGTTCAAAACTGAGTTTAGAACTTCCCAATCAATGACTGAAATACTGTAAACCATTAGTTATAAAACTTATATGAATGGTTCTGAAACATTCAATCTCTCCATTGGTGGGTTTGACATAATAGTAAATATCTTATTTGATGATATACCATATACTATACTATAAACCAAACATCAAATGGAATACCTATACAAATGTTGTAAATGAAGAATGATAGATTTTACCTGCAGGCTAGGGTGAATAACAGCAGTAATTTCACCATTTTTATTCCTGGGATAATCTACTTTTTCCATTATTTTGTAAATTTCAATTGTACATGGTGGAAATTCCTTTCCTAGAAAGGATAAATATATTTTTAAATGTCATGTCAGCAAATTCCCAGTTAAATAATATACCTAATTTACTATTTTATTTAGAATGGCTGAAGTCATTAATTTGTATCTGTTCATAGTTTATAAGTTAGTAATTAACTCAAGTAATACGAATATGTCTAGCTCCAGATTTCCTATCCCGTGAAGGTCAGGTTGCTGAAAGACGACCCAGTTGCTTAGTGTTGCATAAAAATCTGGATCTAAATTTGAACAGTATTGTTGAAATCGGGGATCTCAATCACTGCATACACCGTAATAAATTCATTTTGTAGATAAGGAATTCATAAAATCTGACAGCATTATTTAATAGTTAGGGAATGATATTGATGGGAATGCATGCAGTTCTTGCATGCCTATGTCACTGCTTCAAGAATAAACTGACAATCAGCAGTCAAGCACAAACTTTCCCAATACAAAGATATTTTAATTTATAACAACTCTGTATTTGACTTTGTATAGGTGCATAACAAAAGTTTATTACTTCAAATTATTTTATGAGAGTCAAAGGTATAGTAAGAAATGGAAATGAATAAGCTGCTCATTATAAATGTTTCTTTTTTATATTGCACTCTCAGCATACACTTACTATACAATAAGTTGTGAACACAGTTGTGAACTACCACTTTATATGTGTGATGTATCTTGTAGGATCAAGTATCAGAGGGGTAGCCGTGTTAGTCTGGATCTGTAAAAAGCAACAGAGAGTCCTGTGGCACCTTTAAGACTAACCGATGTATTGGAGCATAAGCTTATGTGGGTGAATGTGGGTATACCTGCCCCTGGAAATTTCCATTACATGCATCCGACGAAGTGGGCATTCACCCACAAAAGCTTATGCTCCAATACATCGGTTAGTCTTAAAGGTGCCACAGGACTCTCTGTTGCTTTTTGTAGGATCAAGTTTCACCATAGTTCTAGATTCTCAAGTTTCAATAAAAAAGGGCAAAAGACATTAACAATAGAAGTTCTTAAAGCTTAAGTGCAATTCTCAGTTCCAACATTCTTATACAATTATCATGCTGTAATTCAGAACGAGTAAAATAAATTGTAAATAATTTATTAAAGACTGTATGAATGAACTTACTATTAATACTACAATAATACAAAATATGAGTTGCATTTGTTTCATTGCAAAATGCTGTAGCTTCATTTATTTAAAAAAATCTACTCTTTTGCAATGAGTTACTAGCAGAGAATAGGAGTGTTCATGCTTGCATGATTTACTATACCTTCATTAAAAATGTGCACAAAATCGAGGCCATGTTTGATAATCTTTCTCATTTTGTCCAAAATATCAGCTCTAAGAACTCCTTGGGGCTGAGGCCCAACTTCCACACCTGTGTACAAATGAGGGAGATATTGATCGACATTGTATGTCACATGTATAGAATGCACGCTAAAAATATACATGCCTGTGTGTGTCTCTGCTTACTGTTTTAGAATTACCAGTTTAATTAACATTGAAGGCAAAATAATGCAATATTTCTCTAATGTTATCCTGTCTATTATAGTATAAATGAACAGGTTAGCCACTTTATCCCACCATCCCTTTTCTGGTTAAACATCAACATTCATCCTAGTTTTATTTATGAGAAATAAATACCTCTTCTGAGTTCAACATCAGTAATGCTTATAATCAAACAACATAATTTACTTTCTATCCTAAAATATTATAAATATCTCCAATAAAATATTATTCTTATGAAAAGAGGATAGTTTGAGTATAAAAAAAGGGGGGACAATTTAGGATGCAGAATGGATCATTTATTTACCAAATCAAGCCCATATGATTACGAAGCAGGTGGATGAACCTCATTATAGAAATTTGTTTAACTTAAAGAAACAACTTAAAAAGAAAAAGATCTGGAGACAGGCATCTATTTTAATAATTTTGGGGGATTGGAAAGTGGTCTCAACATTCATATTTACCAACAGGGTGTTTTGCTATAGATCGAGTTGTTGCATATTTCAAGTTAGGATGTTCAGTCAGGAAAACAGGACAGCATTCTGGGGCCAAAGCATTCTGTGAAGATTTGTCAAAAAAAGTCTTTCTTATGCAAATATTAAAAAATGTTGCGCTACAAAAGACTACTGATGCTGAAGTGATTTACACAATGTCTTCAATATGTTGCTCTTATTTCATGGCCCTAAAATAAGTAGGACATCTTTAGAAAACATACAAAGCTATATTTGTTGGTCTGCTTTCCCTTAGCTCATGTCAGGCATGCTCCACTGAACTTTGCTGCACGCTGATATTAATGAACACAGTTCCAGTCTTAATTTACCCAGAATCAAATTGCTTTAGGACAGATTTCAAATATTTTTCTTCTAGCTATGGTTTGATTCTTTTATGAGATACATGTAGTGAGTTAGCCCAGTTCTTTTTTATATGTCTTGGCAGAAAACCTTCCTATCCGTTCCTTTCTAGATTACTGCCTATCATTTCTACATTTTGATTAGATGTATGTTAATCTTCATATACTCTTACACATAAACTGACCACATCTTTGAACAGTATATAAACAGAGGTATGGGACACAAAGAAAATTAAATACCATATGTCAAAGTATATGAAATATCTTATCTTGAAGTATATGAATTAAGGGGAGGGGATTTTCAAAATGTACCATATTGACCTAACTTTGCTCCCATTAAAGACAGTCGGAGGCTTACCGTTAACTTCAGTAAGATAACAGGCCAACATGGAGCACTTTTGAAAATCTCACCCTAAATGTGAGTCACTTGCAATACCAACAAGATTAAACATTTCCAACACTTATTAGTACTGCAGCCAATGTATATTAGGGTTTCTTTTGTCATAGCCTTATTCCATCCATTTTTAAAGTCTGCATTTTAAATAACTGATGTCTTACAACATTTTGCATTCAGTCTACAATTTTTTCCAGCTTTATGACAGACTAGTTTAAAAACAGACCCAATGATCTTTAAGTTTTTATTAATTTTGCTGTGTGTGTTATTTTTTGCTACTGCCCCACATTTGTCTTATTAACAGATTAATTTATTTACTAGTGCTGTCTATATCAATTGTTATCATGAAAGGTTGGAATCAGTACTAACCAGTATTGGACCCAATTTAATAATTCTTTGTGATAGTAAATATCCCATTCTATAATTAGTTTTAATATACTTTTCCAAACATTTTAACAAAATAAAACAAAACAACATAACTGTATTTAAATAAAGGCACAAAGTTGATATACAGTAATATGTTTCAAATACAAATCTAAATTTATTCTCATAGTTTACTAAAAATTAGTTTTACCTTAATATAATGAAACATCTGGATTGTAAAGTTATTCCTGGAGTTTTCAAGAATGAGAGTGCCACCCATGTTAGAAGTTGTGTTGTGAAGGTCAAAAATAAGGTCATAGGCATCATTACTGTCTTTTGGACCAAATATATGGTTGATTTCCTGAGCTCTTCTCACTTCATATGGGATATCTTCTGTGATTTGCTTGCTGTTAATATTAGTACAAATAAATTAACAAATTCTATAGCTTTGCTGTCAACAAAAATTAGAGTATCCTTTTCATTTGATTTTTTCCATAATTGATTAGAATTGATATACCATATACAACTACCCCATCAAACTGTTTGACCTGTAACAGGTTGTGCTTGAACTTAACAAGTATTAATGCTAGTTGGCAATATGTCTTGCTGTTGTCTCTATCAGTATTTTGCAAGATTTTTCACCTAATCTAAAATGGTATTTTACATTACTTCTGCTTTACTTCTTTGCAATGGCTCCCAGTTCACAATGGTTGAAATTCTCCCTCTGTACAGAAAGGCAGCACAAGAGTTATGCACCATGTAAAGTCATTTCTAGGGCTTAATCCAGCATCTGTTGAACACAGAAGTCTTTCAGGAGTTAGTTCATGCCCTTAGACCTTGGTCCTGATCTATGTCTTTCATGGCTTGTTTTCTTTTTGATCTACTTCTTACTTTTCATATTCTGACCAGATTCTTAAGATCCCTTGGTTTGGGTCCTCTTGCTCCATAAAGCAGATGATACTTATGGATTCCATCTGGAATTCTTTCCCTCAAGATTTTAGTAAGTTCCATCTCAATGTCTTTAAAACTAAATCAAACTGTTCTTTTTAATATAGTTTATGGTTGTGAGATATTATAGTTGAATGTACTGTACTTTATTAATTTCATTGTAAAATGGCATCGGATATGATGTCATAATCTATAATTTTATATCTTTGTGCTTTAATTTAATTGAAATTGAGAACTTCTTGGAATAGGGGAAAGATGTAAGTACTCTGGGTAAAATCCTGCCGTATTGAAGTCAATGAGAGCTATGCCATTGCCTCCAGTGGGGCTGGGATATCACACACTATTTTTGTAAAGCCATTGGTAACTATGTCTCCACATCAGAAAAAAAAAGTACAATAGTCTTCTAAATGTACTTACTAATGCTCTAGTCTTGAGTAATCTGTTGGGATTTACTGAGAAATATTAGTAAAAGTTATACAAAAAGCATTTTAGAAGAAATACTTTAAATTAGATAACCTGACAGTACATTTATTAAATCATTCCAATTTCAAAGCAGGTGAAATAATAAACAGGAAGACAAAGAAGTTATTCTAAATGCATAAGTCTATGTATGGATAAACAGTTAAAAAGTTGGTGCAGATCTTTGTCTCTTGCCAAGTATTTACCTTATAAGTGACATTACCAATAAAACAATTCTCTCTTAGATAAAATGTCAAATGAAAATGCATAGATGCATTGTAAAGACAAATACTTTTATACAGCATGTGTGATATAAATGGTCTTTGCTGTTATCCACCTTTCCCATCAGGACCTTTGTGTTGCATAATTATCTGTTGAGCATGCAGATATATCGTACTTAAAAATGCTTGGTTCACCTACCAAAGTCCATTTGAACAGTTAACTTCTCAAACAGAGCTAACACAAAGTTCCATTAAAAATGTCTTTTATCATTGTAAAATAAGCCTCTTAAATCAGAATAGTTACACTTTGTTTTAGATTATGTAAATCAAGAAATACAGTGTGATCACTTAATTTATTGAGAATTTTGTCTGTATAATTTTGCCATACTATGCATATTTCAAACTTGACTGTTTTCACATTTCACTATATGTAACTGAAATTTAAAATACTCTCAATATTTATATAACATTTGTTTTTTTTCTCAGACACTCGCTTTCATATTTATCTATATTTAAATAGCCAGTTGTTAAAACACAAAGCTATGTGGCTACCAGTACAGTGGCATTAACAACAGTCCAAAAGTTAAAATGCCCCAGGGGTTTATTTCAAGACATGTGAGAAATGAGTCTGTCACTCAGAGTAATAGCAATACTTTAACTTTACATGAATACAGCAAATTCTATATTGATTTTAAATATAGTCTAACTTCCTCTAACAATTTGTCTCTTGTTGCATGAGCACTATTTAAACAATGAATCAAATAAGTACATTCTATTTGGTCTTTCTGGGTTAAAAGTCAGTCAACAATATCATGTGATTGCACTGTCAAAAGATTATTCGTGTTCATGTAAAAATTTTACCAATAAAATAATAAAAGAAGCTCCTGATAACATTTAAGATAGAAAACTAAAAATATACAAGCACACAGTTATTCTTACCCAAGATTATCAGGGTCAAAAACTCGGTTCAGGTCACAGTCAATATATCTAGTACATTTCTTCACAGCGCTTGGGTTGGTAATAAATGGTCTCACTTCCAGCCCTGTTCTTTGAATCTCAGCTCCATTCTCTTGCCAATGCTTGACCAAAAATACCCCTGATAACTCATTGCCATGAGTCCCTCCAAAGATAGCAACTCTTCGTACAGGAGCCTCATGAACAACATAACAGGAAGTCATTCTATTAAGCTGCTTTAATGTTGCTGCAATCAAAACAGAAAATAATAGCAAAGTAAAACATTTGTTCCTAAGAAAGGACAGAAAATGTTTGACTTTTTTATCTGTCTAGACCAGATGTTAACTGATGTGTATTAACATTTCTCTAACAAGTCTTACGAGTTTTCTGTTGCAATACATGGGTGTTGCTAAACTGACACTCCTCCTTCCCAAGCCCTGCCCTTCTCTTTACCATATTTGGATCATAATATGTATAAATCAGCTAAAGATACAGTCATATAGTTCAATCACTAGCTCCTGTACTCAGTCTGTAATGTTATACAGTGTATAATCAAATACTATAATAATAAAAAACAATATAATTTTTAATTTGTACTTTAAAATAATGTTCACATTCTACATTGAAAATCCACAGAATGCTAGCACTTCAAATTGGATGTACCAGGTATATTTGTGCATCACTTCATGTGTGTTTTATATCACATAGCCAGTACAATATGTAATAGAGAAATGGATTTAAAGTAAGCAAAAATACACAACAAAATATGACATTATGATTTCACATCTTAGGTATTGTGATAGACAAAATGCTGAAAGCTCATTACTGTCAACTACCAAAGAAATGTTGGTATCTGAGTATAGCTGGATTTCTTGAATTGCGTTGTGTGTGTGTGTGTGTGTGTGTATATGACAGTTTTATCATACTTATCTAATGAACAGTGGCTGCAGGGGGCTTAATTAAAAATTAAAATTCAATATATTCACATCAGAGTGTAATATTCTTGGCCCCAATGTTGCAATGGGATCTGTTAGCCTGGACCTCTGTGCCAGTGCAGATTATCTAATTGGTGTTTTACATTTCTAACTAATACGATTCTAATGATACAAAAAATAGATGGCTGTAGCTGACATAAGATCAAATAGTTGTACTTGCCTCTCAAAATCTTCAGAGGTCAAGAACCTGCCTTTTTCCAACTTCAGAATTGTTCCATAATCCCAATACATACACCATAACTACCATTCACAAAGGACTTTCAAAGAAGAAAATTAGACTATGCAGCAGTCACATATGTTCTATGGCATCCTGGCAATGTTTTATGGCCAGCATTATACCTGCAATCCCAAGCCATTATATAAGGTCTTCTACAAGTCTAGACTATCCGGAACCCACCTTATTGTGAACATTTCACACATCCTTTTCTAAAGGCTTTTACCATACAATATTATAACTTGGAGAATAAAAGGTCTCAGCAGGAAAAAACACCTTTTTATTGGCAAGAGTAATCTGTACTAATTGTAATTACAACTCTGTAATGACTCACTGCACACCACAGAGATACAAATGAACTCTACATTTCAAGCATATAAAATATATTTTTTGTCAAAATTCGCTTTCTTTCTGTTAGAATGTATATAGGATTTATATTTCAATCATCCAGAAACCTCACTGCTATGTGAGAAAGGTTTTTTAAGACATATTTGATATGTTATAGATATAAGAAAAGAAAGCTGAACACAGGATTCATACATCATGATTAAATCTATTGGAAGTGTACTCACATAATAAAACTTACACTTGAAATTTCAGCCTATGCATACTTATTTAGTAAATCTTGTAGTGAACTAATCTGGATAGACTATGTTTATTCAGACACCTAATGGTATTATTTCTTCACTTTAGTAACTTGTCACATAGTTTCAAGAAAGATAACTGTAGTAAATAATATATTAAACAAACTAGAATAGTTATATTTTACACCAAAAGACTGTTTTGTATCATCCTTTGACCCCATTGCTTTTGGTCATGGTTCCAAAGTTATTACTTACACAGTGACTGAACAAATGACTCACACTTTGAGTCCTGTTTATAGAATTTAAACAGTGCAGCACTTTGGAAATTAAACTGTAAAATGCAAATACACAGTGCTAGTAAACACAGTTTCTCTTTTATTTTTGAATGTATGATGTTTATAATTCCTTGCAAGAGGTAGAGTGAAACACAGCAATTATTTATACACTTACCTCATTTAACTTGCAAGAAGTTTGTCTCAGAAGAAGCGCTTTAATAGAAAAGATACAGTGCATTTCCAAACATGAGTTTAGGACTAAAGCCATGGAAGCTTCTTTTATACCCTTAAAGCAAGTTAACTTCCGAAGAATGTTTAACTCCTGGTTTCCCAGTACTAACTCTAGTGAATTTGTGGTCATAAATGAAAAAGAAACATTTAAAGAGTTTTCATTCTTCTGAGTGAAGATGCTGACAACAACGTAATCCGTTATTACTGTGTTGTGCACCAACATCTATTTTTGTTTCCCTGGAAAATTATTCAGGCACTTATTTTGGCTTCTTCAATATAATTTTAGGGCTGTTTTGTTTTTGCGTTCTGTAATGATTGCTTTTTTATTTGTGCAGCAGTACAAAAGCCTTAAGAGCAGGGTTGGGAGGACTTTGAAAAGTTATTCCTAATGATAAAACTATTTAGTCTAAGCCATTTTATAGAGGTTCCTCTGTGCATTCTCCCCCACAATGCTCTCTGTTGGAGTGACTGGCTGCCCTAAAGACTGAAAGCTGAACTTGACTGCCTCCAAAGAATATTAACATAGGGCTGCATCTACCACTGTAACAGATAGTTGCCCCTGAAAGCAAAATACCAGGGGCAGCTAAACGTTCATTAGCTACTTGTATAGGTCATTGCAGCCTGGTAGGAATTGATATTTGCCAACTTGCTTAAAGCATCATAGTGCTTAGAGCTGCCCCTATCAGCACTGCTTTGAAGACAGGAACAGAGCGTTGCCCCACTTAAACAATGAGGGCTCCTTCCCTAGGGGAGGAGAGTGACTCCTCTGCAATGCACACAACTCATGCCAGACTAGGAGCAAGGGGCAAAACCCCACTACTTTAGCTCGTATCCCCTGTGTGAACTAGTAATTACTGCACCAGACTGCTGAGTGGATCTTCTACACTTAAATAAATTAAAATGAAGATGATAGGACTAATAATATCTGTAACTGTAAAGACTGGGCATGTTTTTCCTATCCAGACAACTGGGGCACCTGGACCTTTTCACCCCCCAAAGAAATGAATCCTTCATTTATATTTAATTGGTAGCCCTATTAAGTGCACTATACATCTTTCAAATTTTTAAAATGAAATACTATTTGTCTATCTTGCAAAACACCCAGAGCTTAGGGTAAGGGCAGTTCTGAAAAACACACACATCTACATTATTTTAGCTGGGTGTGATTGTTTAAATGGTGAGGTTCCCAGGTACTTTATTTATTTTCATAATATTTTTTCTTGCAGGGGTAAAAGCCTGCCCAGAACTAATAGCTGAAGAAAAAGCCACTCAGAGGATAAAGGGGGAAAAGAAGCTTGGGTGAAATCCAGCCCAGAGCTGATTGTTGAGGGGAAAGCCTGTCACAGGCTGGAGAACGGGGATAAGTTTACACAGTATAGTTCGAGTTGAGGAGGATTTATTGCATGTTTCTGTTGGGCTTCTGGCGCCCCCTAGGCAAGCCCACATGCAATAAAATCCAAAGGGAAATGAGTTTATTCTTTTTGTGCAACCAATCTCCCTACTTAGCTTGTGCTCTCCCCACGGGGCTGTGTGCCTGACACAGCCCCCCACCCTCCACACACACAGTCACCCTCCTCAGTCTCCCCCAGTCCCGAGCTGTGCGGAGAAGGAGCGAGCACGGCGGAATGGAGCGCTGGGTCTGCGCTTTCCCGCCTCCCCCTCGCGCTGGAGTAACCGCTTGTTCCAGCCGTTGATTTTTGGCGGGCTTGATATCAGCCTTCGCTCAGCCCCGTGCACTAGCTCTGGGCAGAGTTTCATCCCAGCTGCTGAGACCCTGATCCTGGAGCTGGGTTTTCCCGCTTTCCTAAGCCCTGGGACGGGTTTTACCCCAGTTTCTCCTCAGCTGCTTGTCCTGTCACGGGCTTGTCCCTCAGTCGTTAGCAGTGGCCACGTTTTTACCTCAACTTCAAGGAAATAAAAGTCACTGTAAAATCACACACAGCACAGCAAGATCCGAGGCCATAACATTAAATTACAGGATTGTATGCTTTTTATTTTGCTTCATTTTACAAATCTCACACATTTATTTTCATTGATGGGTTATGGAACCACCAAAAAGTGTTTGAAATACAAACTATTACAGACCTCAGGGCCAAATTCTGCCCTAATTTATGCATGTGCATCTGTCATTGATGTCCATGACATAAACTAGATTATAAATTAGCTATATATGTATAGCCTGTCTATCTTATGTATTAGGTAGGTGGGCTCTGATCCTACAAACATGAAAGACATTACACAAATCATAGTTAAGCATGTACATAAGGATTTTCAGCATTTTATATGCTAAGAATCGGGGCAAGTAATTGTGATTATTATTATTATTATTATTATTAATTTTAGTAATCATTAAGGTCTCCATTTTATATACACACAAAAATATTTTTTTGCTGGATCAGTCCCTATACAATATGGCCAACTCCAAGTAGCATTGCTACCTGTCCAGGTTTTCCCAGGATCATAACTTTTTTGAGGTAGCTGTCCTGGGAAATCTGTAAGGGTACTCAGTAAACACTGCCAGCTGTCCAGTTTTATGGAAGTCCTCTTTTTTTGTATCTCAGATAGGGCAACCGTAAATTCAAACATTAAAAAATTATGAGTCAGGACCCCCAAAATGACAATATTGATTAAAAATAATAAGATTAAAAAATAATAAATTTGGGGTTCTTTTTATTTTTCTTTAGATTTCTGAGACTTTAAGATATATAGGACTTGCTTCACTTTTTCAAGCTTTTCTCTGCACCCAGGGCTAGAAACATACTTTTATTTATTTATTTAATGAAAGCTGTGATTCTCATGCATTCTCTTGATTCCAGTAGGTGAAGCTTACTTAATAAAAACACCCAATATCTCAAGACTCACAATAAAATGAAGAAAGTTGGCAACACTGCTTATATTGTACCACAATTGCATATCATTTTACAAAAGTTTTACAAAATTCATGTCACTATCACATCTAGAAATGAGCAAAATGTAATTACTCTGTTATAGTGATTTTATGTGCACAAATATATGACACCAGGTCAGATGGGATTAAAGCCATTTAAACATTTAAAGTGAAATGATGTACATGGAATAGCAGCTCAAACTGTGTGGTCTAGGAATAAAATATTCACTGTTTCTACTTATAATACTGTCATGGATTACTCAGAAAGGAGCATGGCAAATAAAAATTCATGTTTGTCAAATGTGAATGTACTTTAAAAGTTAATTTCTGTTAATTCTTCCCACAGAATCTCCAGTTTATAATGATGGATTCTGGTCATATCAAATACCTGCTGCAAAAGGGAAGTGTTTAAAGGTTAGGGGCCTATACAGTATTCTTTAGAACAGCAAATTTATCTCTTTCATTTTCATATTGTGTGCAATGGGTGCAGTGGCACTATTTTTCATAAAATAGTTAAACCTTCAGTTCTTATTCTTAACCATCAGGCATTCCATTTTGATAATTAACTTTTCAGGGTTTATTATAGCACCACACTTTATAACAATGTTAAAGTTATGGTTAAGTCATCACTTTCATTTTAATTCCTTATTTTCAGGGACTTATACAAAATTACCCTTTGAATTTAAAGTTATAATTTGTTTTCATTTCAAAGGGGAAGATTTTTTAGAATGTTTAAATTTATTAAAAATAAACCTGGACCAAAATAGATGTAACTATGCAAAATATTTTATTTTACTTCAAAAATGTAATAACTGGGGCCCTGATCCTGGAAAGTCTTACTCATCTGGTATAATTTTATGCACATTAATGGTACCACAGAAATCAATAAGACTACTCACACAAGTAAAGTTAAGAATGTGCCTAAATTGATATACATAAACTGTTACACAAATAATGAAGTGAAGCTGATGAAAAGCTGCATGTACTTTAGTTATATTTATAATGTGAATTAGTTTTTTTTTCCTACAGGCAGATTTAATTGAAATATAACTTTCGCATGGAGAATTTGGAATAGTGAATAAATTATTGGATATTTGGATATTGTGAAAGAAATGAAGAGAAATTTAAGTGACAGTTCATCTCGTAGCACAGCAGGTATCAATTACTTTTTATTACTGTACAATTTGAAAATCATTTTATCAATGTATTTACTCAATTCTGCAAACACTTCCTACTAAGCCAGTCCCCTGTGCTCAAATAGAGTTCCACTAAATATGTACCTTGCTGGAGGGTTGAGGTCATAGTGGTAATGTTGAACTCAGTGGAACCATTCAGAGAGTGAAGAGTTTAGCAGATGTGCAAGTGTTTGCAGGACTGGGGTTTTAGATTGTAAACTCTTCCCTTGTCTTCCTTATGAAGTACCACATTCTCAGGTGATATAAAATAAATAATAAAGATAATAATAATGGATAGAAATGTTAATTAAGTAATTATCATTTACCCATTTTACGAATGGAAAATGTAAATGGTGTATCCCTTAGCCAGAAGGATTTCATGGCTTTCCAACAGTATATGATACAGTTATTTTAATTTATATTTAGGTTGTCTACCTGTACCACTATTCAATCAGAAAAAAAGAACCAGACAGCCGCTCACTTCAAATCCACTTAAAAATGAGCCAAGTACCAGCACCGTGACTCATAGTTATGACTTTTCTGCTAGAACAACTGGTAAATAAGATTTTAAAAAAACACAGCATTTAAGGCAATTTTAATTTTAACTTTATAACAACATTTTTTTAAAGTTTTAGCCATCTTTATGTAGAGCTCACAAGCAAGCTTTAAGTTTTCTGTAGAAAAATTCATTTTGTGAAAGAAAAATATGTTCTACTCTTTTCTGTCCCACAGTAAGTTTCTTTCTCCTCTGTATAATTAAGCCCTTTTAATGTGTGCTTGCAGGGAAGTTGACTTTTTTCTGTTTTAGAGAATGAAGTAGCATGTTGGCATTTAAATGCCTCTTGAAATGGTGACCTTTTGGTGTTGGGTGGTTTCAATAGAAATTCAAGGTCCTTGTTACAGGATGGAACATTTATAGTGTGCTATTGTAGTCTTGTAAAAGAGAAATAATCTGTCCCCAATACTGTGTTTTTAAAAGGCTCTGACATAGAATTCTGCCAGGATTATTTATTGTCATCATTGTTATCCCTACAATTACTGCTTAAAATAAAAATTTCTTTGTGCTTACTACAGACAGTTCTAAAACTGGTAGCTTAAACATCAGTTATAAAAAAAGGTTAATTAAAGCTCACTTTTGAAAAAAGTTGTGTAATATCAATCAACCAAATTCCCCACTGATATGGACACAGAAGTGAAATGAAGACAGTCACATGGATGGATTTTAAATGGCCGGGTGAAACATTTTATTAAACTTAAACACAGGGGAGGTGTGCTACCCACCCATCACCCATATTCTCATATACCAGGCATTTTAAGTGGTTCCAGTGTGGGGGTTACAGGCTCTTACCAAATAACCGATAACTTGGGTTACGCTTTCCTTGGCCTACCTTCCCTCCCCCACCATGACTCATCTTGCTCTGAGACCTACCAATCCCACCCCTCCATCAAGGGGACAGAGAGTGCAGAAGGGCGGGGGCCTCCACCCACATGAGCCACAATGTCTGACCCTATCCCATGAGCCCAACGCCCATCAGCAAAATCCCATGTCTTTTACCTCTTGGAACCCTTATTTTATCCTTTTAATGGCACTGGAAACCGTCTGCATGTTGTGTTGAATTAGCAACTCCACCAGGTATCTCTGTTAGATACTAAGTGCATTTCTGCCTAATTTACTGAGGCTTGGAGGTACTACGAGGAAGGCTAAAAAGCTCTCTGTGCCTCTGGCAATTGACCCTTATGAGAGAAAAAATTACTTCCTGACCCCAAATGGGCAACTGGTGAGACCCACAGCATCTGTCAGGCTGGATTCCTTAGTTCAGGATGAGGCTGCTGGAATGGAGCCAAAAGAGGCTTCACATGGCTCACACTCCCTGTTATATCCCTGAAGCTGGGGGATGTGAGTCAGTCGGTGTCCCTCCCCTCCAACTGGCCAAGGGGTACCAAAGACTCCAGTAGGGCATGAGCACAGGAGGAGGTACCTGGTGTCCTTCAGCAAGTGTCTCCCTCCCTCACTGCTGGGACTGTTCCTTTCCCCAACAGTTCCATCAGTTTCCCCCACCTGTTGAGGCAGGTGGGTGTGGGTGGCATTTGGTTTCTTATGATGCACAAAGCACATACATAACTCTTTGCAGGAGAGGGCCTAAGTATATTTAGTACATATACGTATTTTCAGTTTTTATCCATATGCCATCCTTTGTCTTTTAAGAATTAGGGTGGGAAGTTGCAAAGCCAGAGCTGGCTCAACTACAGAAAACAACGAACAGTGGGTATGTAAAACCAAACTTTTTTGCCTTCTAGTTTGCTTTTAGTGACTTATTCATTTAATTATTTCATAAAATACAATTTACATGTATTTTATGAAATACATACAATAACCTATAATGTATTTTATGAAATACATACAATAACCTATAATCAGGCTGCTACTCTGTCATTCTAACATTTCAAATGTTTCTTTGAAAGCCAAATAGAACCTTCTATGGCTCCCTCCCTGTTGAAACAACAAAACACATCAAAGCCGCATATATCAAATACTGGAAAGAACCTGAATATTTTGAGGTTGGTAAAATGTAGAATTTCTTATTATCATTAAATAGAAAAATACTTATTCTTCTTATATGAAAGTAAATCTGGTATTTCTTATATGTTTCCATGTTCTTATAACATCCAAAAGAAACTTTCTGAGTCTCAGATCATTGCCATGCTCCCCAACCTATATTCTAGTTCTGAGCCAATGTCCACTGAAATCAATGTAAATCTTTCCTTTGACTGCAGTGCACTTTGGATCAGGCGTAAAAGCCTAATCCTGCAGTCTTTACACAGGCAGCACTCTAATAATCAATGAAAATTTCCCTTTCAGACAACTCGGAGTTGGCAATGTTGCTTATCTAATTTATCTTTTAACTAATAATTTATTTCTAATGGTATATTAGCCTCTTTGGGCACGATGACCAGCTATGTATACTGCAAATTTTGTATACTTTCAAACTAAATTTTCATTTTTATTTCAACGGTTTCAATTCAGCTAAACATTGTCTATTTGCTGAATCAGGAACTACATAAATAAATGCCTTAGAAATGAAAGGTGATCAATAGCAAGCCAGTAGAACTTCTGGAATAATTTGGAAGAATTCAAGTCCAATTTGTTTCTTCTAATTTCAGATATGATTTAAAAAAATAATATTCAGTTGCAAAATCTGGATTCTTTAATGCACCTACCCATGTAAACTGATAAATGGTACAAATAAACACAATTTGTTGTTAGAATCTCAAAACATATACTGCACACATGGAAGGGTTTGTTCCTGCCTCCATGCCATAGGCCATATCGTGCCATGAATTTTCAAGCAAAACTTTTTAGCCAGGCTGAATTCTGCTTAAAATTTGGTTGTCTGATATAGCCTCATGTGATGAACTCATACTGAGTAAATTGGGAGGTTTGGTTGTGAATGAGGGCAATTATTGCTCATTATTTATACAGAAAAAAATTTAAGCAAACTTGAATCTTAACTGGAAAGTCAGTATTGAGCCTTATTACAATCCAGGCAAGTGTTTGCTTGGGGCTATGCTCTTTTGGAGGCCCCACATCCCATGGAAACACTCCCATCCACAGGATAGTTATCTCTTTCTATTTCCAGCTGCAAAATCAGTGGGAGAGTAAATATCTTTCTGACAAGACCTCCCTAACTTCACCTCCAGTGGCAGGACTGGAGGTGGAAGCAGTTAATTGGCTTTCTTTATGAAGTGTAAGGTCCTGAAATCATAAGGCCAGCCTTACAGCCAATTGTAGGAGGAATTTTTGAGCAGTGACCCTGGGATGAGGGTTCACAAAGGAATTATTTTCTATAATTTGGAGAACTTGCATTTACAGTGTATTGAATTTGAGAAAATCATTTTAAGGCCCTGATTCAGGAAAGCATCCCTATTCAGGACATCAGTTAAGCAGATGTTTAAAACCCATTGAAGTTAATGGGAGTTAAGCACATGTGTAAAATTAACCACATACTTAATCGCTATCTTAACTAAGGATGAAGTTAAGCACATGTTTAAGTACTTTATCTGGGCTTAAAGAAATACAGGGTGTTTTTTTAAAAAGGTCACAGAATAATCTATGGAATGCACTTATATACATTTTGAATATGCAGGTCAATATTTCAATAGGTATTGTGATATTGAATCATATATAATGTTGCACTGCAGAGCAGAAGAAAAGAATACCAATGCTAAAGTTTGGAACAGAAATGAGCACATGTCGCCAAGTAGCAGAATCAATTTGATATCTGATAGTGGAATCATTCGAAAGTTTGAGAATATCTCAAATAGTCTGAGAACTGTTCAGCAGCACAAACTACCTGAGCATCATAAGGCATCACAGCATATTGAGACAACTGTAACAGGACAAATATGTTCATCCAAAGCACAATGGCCAGTTATATCCAGCACCACATCAAGAAGTCTACAGGATCATAGTCCAGCATATAAATTTAATATTCATAATATCCAGCATAATTTTCAACAAAATAAAGTTAATGAAAAACAATTTGATCATGTTCCAGAAGACAAAATGATTCAGGTAAAATTCTGGGGAGTAGGTAGGGGAAGAAATTACAGGCCTCAGGACATTTCCCGAGAAAATAATAAGGGGACAGATGCCTGTTGGGGGAGGGAAAGTTGTTTGAGGGAAGATGAAGCCACCATGAATTCTAGCTTTGGGAGGCCTCCATTAATTCAACTTTGGGAAGCCTTGGAATTAAGATTTTCATATTAAAGTAACCTAAAATTTCCAAACATTCGTAAACAATTACCACTATGCCCTATGAGCACACACACACCTTGGTCAGCCTCCTGCTCAGAGTCCTGGCCTTTTCTTAGATATGTTCCAGGAAATTTTGGTGAAATGTTGGCAGCAACATTTTTGAATTGTGTTAAAGGAAGACATGCCCTCACTTTAATGTAATTTATTGAAATAATTTTTACTAGTGAAATAAAATTATGCTTCTTCAAGTCATATGTTGTGAGGAATGCAATATAGTGATATATAGTGGTTCTTATTCTTCAGCTATTTGTTGAATGGTAAAGAGTTGCTCTGCTTTTACTAAAACTGGCTTTGTCTCCTAGTTTCTGTAGTTGAAGTTATTTTCTGTAAGGAGAACAAATATATCTCTTTATGAGTATTGTACTCTAGTTTACTGTTCTTATGCATTTACAAAACCTTTTTCAAATCTGTTGGCATACTTCATAGCAGTTTCTCCTCCCTTGGTGTTCACACCTCAACTGCTAACAAAGCACCTCACTCTCCCTGATTGAACTAACCTCGTTATCTCCATACTGATTTAGACCTGCCTCTGGAGATTTCCATTACTTGCATCTGAAGAAGTGAGGTTCTTACCCACGAAAGCTTATGCTCCCAATACTTCTGTTAGTCTTAAAGGTGCCACAGGACCCTCTGTTGCTTTTTACAGATTCAGACTAACACGGCTACCCCTCTGATACTTCATAGCTCTTGTTAATGCAGCTTGTTAATAGAAATAGAAATTCTGACTGATTTTAATCTATTCTTCTGTTCTTTAAACCTCTATTTACATTTGGTGCATCCCTCACTCTTGCATTTCTTTTGTAATTTGCTAAATGCAATTTCCCTGTCAAAAATAGCACAAATTTAGACTAAGCAAAGTTTCCATTGCTTATGTTTTTAACAAAAATCCCATCGTACCTAAAGATATATCTTTCTTTTTCTCTGTACCCCCATGCCATGCCCAGTTCACAAATGAATGATAATTATCTATTTGGTCAATGTTGACTCACAAGATAGTACAGTATAAATCAGAAACAAAATAGCTGTTCATTATTTATTAGATTTATTTGTGTATGTTTTAGACAACTGCTAGTCATGACTTTGTTTCTATCTGCTACTCAGTATGAAATAGGCGGCACAAATTTGTGTGTTTCAAGCATGTTTATATTATTTCTTTGTCTTGCCAGCAATTGTTTTCCACTTGGCTGGACTCAAATCAGTGGTCTGGTGCATATCCATGGGATTTTGTCAAGTCCTACTTATTCTCTCCAATTAGTGCAGATTTTGGGACTTGTGTTCTGACGTCATTTAGACACGTTAGAAAGTCCAATTCCTAAATAAAATCTTCATTTTATGAAATGCCTTTTGCATGGGTGTGGGTGTGAAGGAGGGTTGTGTGACCATTGTTTTGAATAGGGGTATTTATTTATTTGAACCGAAACAGTAGTCTATTGTGTGATTTTTGTGATATCATAAAACAAGTTATATTGGACAGTGGTTTATTGGTGTTTTAGTAATCTAAATAAATTAAATAATGTGTTCATTTTAAATACTGGATAATTAACATAAGAACAATATGTAACTATCTATCTGACTTTAAAGACTGTAAAGGTCTCTATTTAACTTGAGTTCTCATCTTTCCCTGAAAGAAAGTTCCAGCATATCAATTAAAACTCAAAGAAAAAGACAATTCTCTGCGAATTATAAGTGCAGTCATTGAAAGTATGAAGCATTGGAGCCAGTATACTTATAAAACTGCACTATTATTTGAAGTGTTAGGTATGTATAGTAGTTTATGCTATAGTTGAAAATATTGGTGGGTCAGTCCCAAAAAGACAATGCAGTTTTTACTATAGAGCAACAATAGTCAAAATATTTAAAGAACCAGTTCTCAAATTTTGATTAATATTTGACCCATTTTCCTTTTAATATTGACATGAGCCTCCAGTTAATTTCATATCCGGACAATTTTCCATATATCAAAGATGACCAAAATATGAGCATGGCAAAATGAAAAGTATCACCCTACAATATTTAAACTCTCCCCATCTTAATATTTCTACTATTGTCTTGATTTCTGTTATATTTTCTAGCCAAGGTTCAAGGGCAGTATAAAATGAATTGTGCTAATTTAATCAGTGGCTTAGGCTGATAGGTGTGGAGTTTCCAGGGGATGAAAACTCTACTCAGGATTTGGTAGCATTGTGCAAAGCAGCCACAACTCCACTTAAAAGGTGGCTACAAAGGTAAAGGTATAGAGGACAGCACATCATCAAAAGTGAGCTGGCTGAAAAGGGGAGATGGCCACGGTGGCTAGAGAGTCTGCTGATATAGCTCTCGGAAGAAGTTCCTTTTGGTAGAATTCTCATGGGATGTGATACAAATTAAAATTGCCTCTCTCATTTGAAGGAACCCTTACACACAGCAGAGGTGAAAACACTACATGAATCCCAAAGGGATGAATTTCCCTCCAGCAGCAATGGGTTTAGCTGACACAAGAAAGTCCTCTTTACATCTCTCTGTGGCTGATTTGATTAACTGTGCCCACTATCTAAAATTGGTCCATACTTAGAAAACTGATGAAGAATTTTATTGGTGAGGCTTGGAACTTTGTCTGTAACATCTGAACTCTTTGATAAAAGGATGAACACAACCTAAATTCTTCATATACCGAGAGACTAATCCACACTATATAAAAAGCCATCACAATATCAGTTAAGAGTGTAGTAGCAGACTTTCTTTCTATTTTTCAGGATTATTACATTTTTCATAGAATTAAAATAATTAAAGCTTGAGACATTATTGAAGCTAAGAAACAGAAAGAAAATTTGCAATGAAAAATCCAGCTAGCAAGGGTACTAGAGTTCTGCAACAACTTTTTAATAGAATTAACTTGGGAATCAGTCAAAACCTGGAGTTCTTCTGAATTTGAATTATTTTTACAACCTATTTCACTTTTCACTTTTATTGACGTTTCCTAAAAATAGAATTTGACAAAGGAAGCTGGAGATGACCAATTGTTTTAAGAGTTGGGGTGGCTGGGGATACCAAATGTAACATGAACTCATGGACTCTTTTACATTGGAAATGTTGGTTACAAATTTTAATGGTTTAAAATTGATTTGCATATATGAGTAAGTACAGCTTTAAGAAAAACTGGATCTCTCATGCACCAGTACCTAGGGAGCTAATCAGTTTATAATCATGCTTATGAAAAGTACAGTTTTTCACCTACTTCACAGAGACAAAATATGTGAATTTACTATTAGTGTGCCATATATAGCCCTTAATTTGCAGTAGAATTCCCACTGATGTCAGTGGAAACTGTGCTAGTTAGAAGACTGACATCAGTATGTTGCTTAGTATTTTTGTCTATTTAATATTAATGTCACGTAATATTTGTAGATCACAGGCTTTAATAGTGCTCTCATGTTTACTTCTTGACATATTGTTTAGGCACACTTGATTCTGCAGTCACACCTGGAGCATATGGAGCAAAAAGTTTTGTCTTGAGAGATGGAAAGGAGAGTCTGCCATGTGTATTTTATGAAATTGTAAGTATTTTCTATGTTTATACAGAATATACTATACGTGGTGCAGTTAGGAGGTTAATAACATGTATTCTGTTAACACTAACTTCTAATGTATAAAATAAAGTTAAAAGCTGTATTGTTCACTTTCCATACAAAGTGAACAAACTGCTTATTGGGTCTGTGGCAGTAAATACAGTTGCAGTTCAGGCAAGCCCAAACCCGTTTTGCCAAAACTTGTTGAGAAATGTTTATGCAAGTGTCTTGGGGCTTTCTCAGATCAAATTAAATTTGAGAAGAGTTTGTTTAGGTTGTGGAAAGCTGGATTGGGATTTTGGAGGGAAACAACTATAAAGCAGAGAAGTTTCAGAACAAAGTTCACTCTTTTTCAAGGTGTACTCTGCATATTTTTATTTGTAGTTTACACACACCAACCCCTTGGTTCTACTGAGCTTTTGCAGTCCTCTAGAAAAGGTGTACCTGTTTGGATTGCATGAGCATGCCTTCATAGCACTGACCATTCAGAAATTAGGCTATAAAAGGGCCATGCAGTTCTGGGCTTGCATAATTGCCTTTTATCTATGGCTAGCTGCAGATGTAGGAAAATCCTGTTTGTACCCAGGGGAGTTTTATGTATATAATTTGGCCAAAGTTCAATTCTTCTCACAAAGGACATATAGCAGGAAGTTTTCTGTTACCTCAGTTTGTTGATTAATTTTTTTAAGGTAATTTGTGCATACTTCAGGGTAGACTTGGGCCAAAGTTTTTGTGGGTCTTTTGTCAGTGAAAACCCAGTATCTCCCATTTCTGTTCACTGTTAAGACATCTTTTCATCTAGCTTCGTGGTACTTAGCAACTTCCCTCAGAACATACTATTTTCCGCAGCTCCCTTCTTGTAATGGAATCACTTTTCCTAAGAGTTGTAGGGATAGCAATTGACAAAAGAAGAAGTTCTTGTGGTGTAGCTCCTGTGCAGTCATGCTGCCAGAGAGGGTGAAGAACTGCAAGGGACTTTAGAGCTGACATAGCCCACAAACATTACCTAGCCTCCAGGAATCCCCTACTAATACTATTATTCTTCAGACATTTTGAAGAGCTTAGTTCATGTCAGAAAAGAGAATTAATTTTAACCTTTTGATTATTATGCTTTTGAAATAGGATCGGGAGCTTCCAAGACTAATTAGAGGTCGAGTTCACAGGTGCATGGGAAACTATGACACAAAAAGGAACATCTTCAAGTGTGTGTCTGTAAGACCTGCAACTGTTGTAGAACAAAGAACTTTCCAAGAATTTGTTAAAACTTCAGATGTCGAGATGAGAGAATGTGTGAAAACAATGAATGAAGTTTAAAGTAATGTTTATTTAAGCAATAATTTAAAGTTGAGATCACACTCCTGTTGATCAATAAGCATAAAGGCTGCTCATCTTGAGCATTTACAAAAGCTCATATTAAAAGTATTCTTTTATTAAATCCTTGAAAGCACAATTATAGTATGTGTTATGTAAAAATTAAAATAAAATAGTTCCGGTTTGTTTCTACCATTATATTTCTTTGTTTACTGTGCTAGATTTTTTGTTGGGTGTGGTTTGTTAGATTTTACTGAAGGAATATGGATTAAAATACAGGCAGTCCTCGGACTTACGACACAACTGGTTCCTTACAATTGTGTTGTAAGTCGGAACTCGGAACCGCAATCTACTCCATTGCGGGACCGAGCATCGTAAACTCGAAACCTATAGTCGTAAGTCGAATCGGGGTGTCCATACAGAAGCGTCGTAAATGCAGTTCTTCGTAACTTGAACGTCATAAAGTCGAGGACTGCCTGTATTACATTTTGGTTACAAATACATGAATTTATACAGACTCAACTTTTAGCTAAACTCATGTACCCTTAATGTAAACAATGAATAGATTTTGCAGTGTTATCATGGAAAGTGGAGGGAGCATCCCATTCATAGCACAGTTTCCCACCCCTTTTGTCTAACATTGAGGGTACAGCGGTATGGCCCATAGAAGGCTGAACTGGGAGATGTCCATCCCCCCTTCCACCAACCCCCCAGACAATCCATTGAAGAGTTAATAATTTAGCCTTAGCTCTTTAAGGGGAAAGGAGTAGGGGAGAATCACGGGGAGCTGGAGAGAGTGCAGAAGTATAGGGCCTCTCCATAGATGGTCTTAGCTTGTAAAGGATCTCAAAATGTCTGAGGGTGTAGGGCTGAATACACTGCCCACTCTGAGGGGAACCTGTTCACCCAAATGATCTACAGGAGCCTCAGACCATTTTCGTCCCCTTGGGCCTTGCCTGCTGGTTTCTCCATGAGAGGAGGCAATCTAGTCTCATGTCAGAAATTTACTGAGAATTAAATTAAATTAATTTTCTTGAATTCTGAATTATATGGTCATTAAGTGTAAGTAACTGGAGCAAAATAAGGTACTAATTCCATCATTAACCTAAATGGCTTAGAAAAATCAGATAATCAATTCTAAGTGAATTTATTGTTGCTTTTTAGTACGATTGTTCCAAGAAATTATTTTGAGAAACTAAGTACTTTTATTTCAAAATATTAACCATATATTTCATCTAAAGAATAAATGTTTTTTAAAAAATGATTTTCATTGCTGATAAACATAAATTATATGTAGAGCCATATTCTGACTGGCTAGGCTGCAGCTGCAGAAGTTGCCTTTCTTTTTCTGGCTCTGCCAAAACCCATGTAGAAGTTCTTCTACAGGCTGACGTAACAGGCACTGTCGAGCTGTTCTGGGATGAAGCCTATCTTAGGTATTTATCTGGTCCCCATTACTGAAGTATCCAATTGCCTCAATCTTTAATGTATTCTAACATCCATGTGAAATAGGGAAGTACTATTATCCCTATTTTACAGATGGGAACTGAGGCACACAGTAACAGTAAGTGAATTACCCAAAGCCACACAAGAGGTGGGAGAAAGGGTAGGGAACTGAACCTGCTTCTCCCAAGTCCCAGGATAGCAGCCTACTACTAACTGGATCATTCTTTGGACAAGCCAGGGATCACAAATTATATGTTTATATGCCTATGCTCCTATACACAGACACTTATATAGATTATTCCTATTTGTTGCCATTTCCTTATCCCCTCAGTCTCTTCCCTTAAAGTAACTGCTGTGCATCTTATCTGACTGCAACTGTAAAACAAAAGCAAAGTCAGGAAAATAGTGAACAATGTGAATTATTTTATTATACAGTGTTGTCAATTGTAAATTTCACATTTAAAATAATTGAAATATTTTATTCAACAAGTCAAATACGGAAAACAGTTAATATTCTAAAAAGGAGGCAGCTAGTCAACGCAGAAACACAGTAATGGAAAATACAGCTTTTAGTTACACTTAAAAAATTATATATTTAGAATAAAACTTGAACCTGATCCAGTAAATTTTCTGGTTTTTTTTAACAAGAAAACTATTATACACAATATAACTCACAGACAGTCCTCATTAAAAAAGTGATTTATCAGTGTTAGCAAATGTATTGGTAGTAATTCCCCCTATTTAAGTTCCAGAGGAGCTTCTGCAATATATGCTTTGCTTACTCTGGTTTGAGTCAGTTACAGTATGATCTCTACCCAGAGTTATAAATTGGCTCTGAACATGGACCTTTTACATGGCAATTCTGTCTACCCCATTTTAGATTTCATCAGTCTCCATTAAGTTTTCGTTATTTCCTTTCAATGTTTAAAATTATATAAAGGACGTTCAATATGGAAGCATTAGTTTCGCTCTTTCTTAGAAAGTGGAGGATACTGTGGAAAAAACTTGAGTTTTTAACTTGATTGTTTGTTCAAAACACTGAAAATAAATTTTCAATACGTTGTTTGGTATAGCAATATTGTAAATTTTAAGACCCCTACTGAGAAAATAGGTGAAAGTTATAAAGGAATTTCAAACTATGCGTCCGATCCTGCAAACATTTACGTAACTTTATTCACATGTGTAATCCTACTGATTTCAATGGGATTACTGATGGGCACAATTCTGCACATGAGTAAAGTTATGTTTATAAGTGGTGACAGGATTGGGCCCTCTGTGTCTACTAGATATATTATGGGTATTAATAGAAATCTAAAATTATTTTACTTTTGGTAACCAATTAAATCTTTGCAAAAATGTTTTCTAATTTACACTAACAAATCACTTTTTCTAGTGAAACATTAAGTGAACAATCGTAAACATTACACAAAACAGAGAAAAACCCACAGAATACAATTTTTACACATTGTATAACATTTTCAGTGGTTTATGAGAATTTTTTTATATATTGATCCTGTCTTGTATAATTGTTCTATTGTAAAGGCACAGGTTGGTTAGGAAAGAAAAGCCTGCATCTCTCTCTTTACTTTGTGGTTATGGGTTTTTTATCTGTTTATTTTCTCACTTTTTACCTTCTGAATTTTATATGAAGCTTTCCAATCTATTCCAGCAATTTATGAAATGAGCATAAGACACTACTAAAAATGCTACATGCTACATACAGAGAAGACTGAAGTCTATTCTGCCTTTAGGAGAGCAGAGGAAATTCCTTCAGCCTCATTTTTGTTAAATATTTAGAAGATTTCATTCCTTAGTTCTCTATGACAAAAACCATAGAGCTCTCTCTATTTACTTTATTCAGCTTTGAAATATGCATTTTAAAACATTAATAATGTAATTGAATTATATTATAAATGTATGTGCATAATTTGCTCTTTCGAGCTCATGATTATGTAACAACAGTCAGCTACTTTAAAAAATAATGTAATGCTTAATTAAGTTGAGTTTAGAAGGCTTCACAATGTAAACAAGATTGTATAATACTTTGATACATATTGGAATAAAGTAAAGTGATTGTTCTATCAGTTCTCATTTTCTTATACTTCCTCAACATTTCTTTATCTGTCCCTTCACGCACATTTTTCAGAAAAGAAGAAATTCAGGAATAACCATTACCCAGGCTTCAATAAATAACCAAGAAAAATAGAGAGACAAGGTGGGTGAGGTAATATCTTTTGTTGGACCAGTTTTTGTTGGTGAGAGAGACAAGCTTTTGAGCTTACATAGAGCTCTTCTTCAGCTCTTCTTCCAAAGCTCTGTGTAATCTTGAAAGCTTATCTTTCTTACCAACAGAAGGTTAATAAAAGGTATTTCCTCACCCACCTTGTCTTTAATATCCTGGGACCAAATGGCTACAACAGCACTGCATACAACTAACAAAGATGATAGATTTGATCAGTTGGTTCACAGGACAAAATAAAAAGCAGAAAAGTAAGGTTCAGTATTAAAATATAATCAAGAGGTTCAGTTCTTTACTAGTAAATATTAAAAATAAATAACATCCTCATGACCTAAGTACTGGATAGGAATTTTACTGTAATTTTGAAGGAGAAATATGGCAATGGAGTAATATTAGAACCCAATCATTCTTTTGTTTAAGGCATGTGGTGCATTTGTTTGAGTCCTTGGTGGTAATGAAACCAAAAATGCCATTGCTGGAACTATACTTCATAAATTTCACACACAAAAATACCCATCAGATGTGACATTTTTCTAGTCATCATTACATTGGATGATATTGAGTCAAAGTCTGCCACACATACTCACAGTCTTTACCTTACAGGCTTATAAAACCCCCAAAACTATACATAATTATATACAATTCCATGCAAAATCATAATCTAAGAACTATGGTAAAACAAATGCACTTCTCCTCTTAATATACTTTTCTCCTTTTTAAGCTATTTTAGTATTGGGCCTTTTGAAAAGGTTAGATTTCTTTAGCAAAAAGTTATCTAAAATGTATAGCAATCACGGTGGAGGCTATACTTCCCAATTGTTAGACCAGTACTAAAACATGTGCCTACAAAGTACAATATTCAGGCACACTCCTAACATGCATTGATTAAAAATAAACAAACAAAAGCACTCTTTCTTGCATACATCTTTTTTCATAGGTAAGCTTCATTTTAGGCTCTGGTTACTAGTAGGCTTTTCCCACTCATAGTAACTATAACAAAATATCATTATCAGATTTAAAATTATTGGGTTCATAAAAGTTCTGACATTTAATAACATATAAAAGAGAATTGAGGCTTTTAACAGATTTACTGTTTTGAGACATAAAAGAAACTGTTTGGGAGGTAGACAGATGTTTTGAGGATAAACAGATTTTTTGACTAAGGCATTAAGCCATTATAAGTTTAGAGCAGCATAAAGGCTGCTAATTAGTCTTATTTCAATTCCAGAGTGTTAGCTTCTCATGCTTACGGAAGACTATCAGTGCACTTTTGGTCTCTGTGATTCTGACCCTCTATCTCCCTCTCTCTCTTTTTTTTTTTTAGCCATACAGCTAAAAGGAAGTGCTATAATACTTTCTGCCCATTGATTAACCGGAATGTTTTGCTGTTAAATACTAATCAAATACTATAAAATAGTAGGTATTGGAGTTGGAGATATGTACTCTTTTGGTGCATATTTTGCAAAGAATGGTAAAAAGACAGATAACATGACTCCAACAATTGCCAACATGTAC